TATTGTTCGTATCAGCCAGTAGGAAACTATGACCGTTCATGTTGTTCTGAATGCGTTTATTAATGCATCACTGGATATCAATGACAGGCTAATGCTAGCACGGCGAATCATCATTCCAATGCGAAGAACATGACGCATATGGCGAATGGTAGTGGTACGAATGGTAATGCTATAGCTGGTGCTATTATTATTTAAAGAGCAACTACCATTACTAGCTGGCCGCTCTGCGGTTGATCGGGAGTTTCTGTATATAGAGAAAAAGCGCGCCTGTGCTCGATGACGATGGTGATAATGAGCAGGTGGCGTTGGTGCGGCGGGTGAGGATCGGGAGAGCGCTGGGGATGTCCTGGGGTGCGCGGCGATTTTGCGAGGATGTCGTGGGGGTGCGCTGGGGGCCCGTGGGGCGATTTTGCAAGGATGTCTCGAGCGAGGGCGCTGGGTTGGGACACGCCTGGCGCTCCCGGTGCGCCCGGTGCAGCGCCAGAAATGGTCCCGGGGGTTGCGCTGGGGGCTCCAGTGGCGATTTTGCAAGGAAGTCTCGAGCGAGGGCGCCGGGTTGGGACACGCCCGGCGCGCCCAGTGCGCCCAGTGCAGCGCCGGAAATGGTCCTTGGGTGCGCTGGGGGCCCGTGGGGCGATTTTGCGAGGATGTCTCGAGCGACGCCTGGCGCGCCGGGTGCGCCCGGTGCAGCACCGGAAATGATCCCTGGGGGTGCGCTGAAGGCCCGTGGAGCGATTTTGCGAGGATGTCTCGAGCGAGGGCGCCGGGTTGGGACACCCGGCGCGCCCGGTGCAGCGCCGGAAATGGTCCCTGGAGGTGCGCTGGGGGCCCGCGTGGCGATTTTGCGAGGATGTCCTGGTGGTGCGCTGGGGGCCCGTGGGGCGATTTTGCAAGGATGTCTCGAGCGAAGGCGCGGGGTTGGGACACGCCTGGCGCGCCCGGTGCGGCCGGCGCAGCGCCGGAAATGGTCCCTCGGGGTGCGCTGGGGGCCCGTGGGGCGATTTTTCGAGGATGTCTCGAGCGAGGGCGCTGGGTTGGGACGCCCGGCGCGCCCGGTGCGCCCAGCGCAGCGCCGGGAATGCTCCCTTGAGGTGCGTTTGGAAGCGACTATCCCGCGCGCCAGGGGTAAGCATGACGTGAGTTCCACAGATACCCCGTCAAATTATCATTACTGTTACCACTACGCTTACTAATCCGTAGTGGATTCACCCTCTGCCGCCCGCCCCATCTCTGTTGGAATGGTAGATCCCAGAGCTATTCTGGGACGTGTCGGCACTGTTTTGAACACTTCTGCGAAAATCATACGAGGACGATTGGCATTCAGCAAGCACCTTGAGATTCCAGAGTTGTTGGTGAACGCGATGTTTCCTTCTTAGAGCGCGAAGGTGGTGTACTGTAATCCCACCAGCCCTCTGGGCGTCGGTTGTTTAGGGAGTTTCCTCTTCCACCCCTCCTTCTTCCCCTTCGGGGAGGGGTTTACCCTTCCCCCTACCCCCTCCCCTGGACCTGGACAGGGGGTTTAGCGAGGTGTCGGAGCGTCCAAAACGGCGTCGGCGAGCAAGCCAAAATCATTGGTTTTACTAAGGTTTTGGCACCATTTTGGCCTCCTGAGGGGGGGGCCCTAATTAGACCCCCCCCCCTCCTGTGATGGATCTCACCCAAGATGGCCCAAAGATGGCCCCAAAGCTCCCAAGGGTGCCCCAAGAGGGCCCCAAGAGGTGGCCAGGAAGCCCCAAGAGGCCCCCAGGATGCCCCCAAGAGGCCCCCAAGAGACCCCCAAGAGGCCCGAAAAGACCCCCCAGAGGCACCCAAGATGTTCCAAGATGCCTCGGCGGGAATGCCAAATCATAGATTTTACTAAGGTTTTAGCCGCATGTTGGCCTCTTTGGGGTGGCACTGACTAAGATGACTCCAAGAGCGCCTGGGAGAGCCCAAGATGAACTCCAAGATGGCTCAAGATATCCCAAGATGTCTCATAATGGCTCCCACGATGCTCCAAGATGCCCCAAGACCGCTCCCAGACGGCTCCCAGTTGCCAAAGAGCTCCCCCAGGAGGCCCCGAAGAGGCCAAAACCTTAGGACATTCTATGTGTTTGGCTTTCTCGCCTTTTCGCTTCCGATGGCCATCCGAGGCCTCAATATGGCTCCAAGATGGCCCAAGGGGGCTCCAAGAGAGGCTCCAGAAAGCCCCAAGACGGCCCCAAGAGCGCCTAAGAGCACTCCAAGAGCGCCCCAAGAGCGCCCCAAGAGGCGATTGTTTAGGCTCCTGAGGGGCAACGCTAACTAATGCTCGCTTCTTGTTTGATCGATGTCCCCCAAGATGGCCCCAAGAGCGCTCCCAAGGCTCCCAAGAGCGCTTCAAGAGGGCCCCAAGAAGCGCCCAGGAGGCCCCAACAGGCGCCCAAGAGGCCTCCAAGATGCTCCCAAGTGACCCCCAAGAGGCCCCAAGAAGCTCTCCGGGGCACCCAAGACGCTCCAAGAGGCCTCCACTGGGGGACCCTTCCTCTGTGTGCTGCCCACTTCCCTGATCGAGGCAATTCCTCTGGGCATCGTTTCTGGATGGGCTGGTGGGGTTACGCGAATCGTCTAGAATTAACATGGGGTTCTGGTCTGGGGAGCTCGAGCCTGGCGCAGTTTGGAAAGAATTCGGGCCTCGGGAGCGCGAATTTGGATTCAGTTACTATGGGTTCAGGCTCATGGAGCGCGAGTTCGGGGTAATTCGTGAAGGATTCTGATTTCGGGAGCGCGAATCCAACGTAAGTTGCAAGGGATTCGGATCTCGGGAGCGCGAGTTTGGCGTAATTGACAGAAAGGGTTCTGGCTTCGGGGGCGCGAGCCTGGTGTTATTCATGAAGGATTCTGGCCCTGGGAGCGCGAATCTGGCGTAGTGTATAACAAGGTTTTTTTTCCTGGCCTCGGGAGCGCGATATAACAAGGTTTTTCCCAACCATCCTGTGGTGTTGGGTCCTCGTTTTGAAGAGACGGTGCCCCGCGTCTCCTCCCGCTGCCCCCGCCTCCTCCCCCTCCTCCCTCCCCCCTGCGTTTCACCCACCCAGTACAGCGTTTCGTGGCCCCATAGGGAGCTCCACCGAAGGCCCCAGTGGCAGGGTTCGCATGGCGGCCCCGCGCCCTTGTGGCGCACCCCTCACACGGTTCTTGGCCCCATAGGGGGCTCCACCGAAGGCCCCAGAGGCAGGGTTCGCATGGCGGCCCCGCGTTTTGGCGCTCCCCTCACACGGTTCGTGGCCCCATAGGGAGCTCCACCGAAAGGCCCAATGGCAAGGTTCGCATGGCGGCCCCGCGCCATTTTGGTGCACCCCTCACGGTTCGTGGCCCCATAGTGAGCTCCACCGAAGGCCCCAGAGGCAGGGTTCGCATGGCTGCCCCGCGCCAGTTTGGTGCACCCCTCACACGGTTCGTGGCCCCATAGGGAGCTCCACCGAAAGGCCCCCGTGGCAGGGTTTGCATGGCGGCCCCGCGCCATTTTGGCGCACCCCTCGCACGGTTCTTGGCCCCATAGGGGGCCCCACCGAAGGCCCCAGAGGCAGGGTTCGCATGGCGGCCCCGCGCCAGTTTGGTGCACCCCTCACACGGGTCGTGGCCCCATAGGGAGCTCCACCGAAGGCCCCCGTGACAGGGTTCGCATGGCGGCCCCGCGCCATTTTGGCGCACCCCTCACACGGTTCGTGGCCCCATAAGGAGCTCCACCGCAGGCCCCAGTGGCAGGGTTCGCACGGCGGCCCCGCTCCAGTTTGGTGCACCCCTCACACGGTTCGTGGCCCCATAGGGAGCTCCACCGAAGGCACCAGTGGCAGGGTTCGCATGGCGGCCCCGCGCCATTTTGGCGCACCCCTCACGCGGTTCGTGGCCCCGTAGGGAGCTCCACCGAAGGCCCCAGAGGCAGGGTTCGCATGGCGGCCCCGCGCCAGTTTGGTGCACCCCTCACACGGTTCGTGGCCCCATAGCGAGCTCCACCGAAGGCCCTAGAGGCAGGGTTCGCATGGCGGCCCCGCACCATTTTGGGGCACCCCTCACACGGTTCGTTGCCCCATAAGGAGTTCCACTGCACGCCCCAGTTGCAGGGTTCGCATGGCGGCCCCACGCCAGTTTGGTGCACCCCTCACACGGTTCGTGGCCCCATAGGGAGCTCCACCGAAGGCCCTAGAGGCAGGGTTCGCATGGCGGCCCCGCACCATTTTGGCGCACCCCTCACGCGGTTCGTGGCCCCATAGGGAGCTCCACCGAAGGCCCCAGTGGCAGGTTTCGCATGGCGGCCCCGCGCCAGTTTGGTGCACCCCTCACACGTTTCGTGGCCCCATGAGGAATTCCCCTTGCTTCGTCCCACCTGCCCTGCGGTTTCCACACTTGCGTATGGTTGGGTCCTTCGCCAGAATATTTGTTTCCTGGCCTCGGGAGCGCGACCCTGGCATAATTCGCAAAGGATTCTGGCCTCGTGGGCGCGACTCTTGTGTAATTTAGAGGGGGTTCTGGCCTCGTGGGCGCGACTCTTGCGTAATCTACGAGCGGGGTTATTACTTCAGGGGCGCGGGTTTCAAATAATTTTGCATTTCCCAGGACCCACTAGACATTCAGGCAAAGCGAGTCGGGCGTGGTCGCCAGGGTGGTTTTCCGTTCCCCTCTCGCGCGGACAATATCAATCTTGTATAGGAAGCAGAAGGTCTTATTGTACAGTTGGAAACTGACAACTGGAACTAGTGCAGGAATGGGAACCGATAGCCGCGCAGCCTGATGGCCCCACAAGGGGGCCAGCGGATAATGATATTTATGGCAACAGCGATTGCAATGATCATAAGGAGCCGCATAAGCACAGACGTCTGAAGGTCCGCCTGATCGGCGTTGGACCCCCCTCTCCAGCGCGCGGAGCGCGCCAGGGGCGGCGCTGAAGTCGCCGCCAGTGGGCCTCAGCGCCGGTCCGAGAGATCCGCACAGGCCTCCGACAGTTAATGCTGGAGTTGCGCCGCTTTCTTGCCATTCTGCAGGCGTTCAGCGAGAGGACGGCGCGGCAGTTCGACCGCTTCGGGAGGGCAACGTTCTTCTACGGCCCCGCCGGGGAGTACGGCACCATTTCGGCAGCCAGGTTCTCGGAGGATGGCCACTACGCCCTCAGCATGCAAGTGAGGGGCGGGCACTACGCGGAGGGCGCCCAGCTGGACGACATGGTCATGCGGCTGCAGCCAGACGGCTCCATGACCGTCGTCTCGTCTGGGGACGGCTCCGCGGCGGTCCCTCCGGTCTTCGAGTACTGGGAGCGGAGCGAGCAGTTGGCAGACACCGGAGGGGGCTGGGTGGGTGGAAGCATGGCCAAGGCAGGGGGGGGAGGAGGGAAGGGGGGTGGAAGGGGGCCGCGGGAGAGGGGATGTGGAGAAAGAGCGGGTGCGGGACAGGGACGGGGATCGGGAGGCGGATGGGGAAGACGACAGGGACGGGGATCGGGAGGCGGATGGGGAAGACGAGGAGCACTCGAGGCATGCCCTAACCCGCCGTGAACGTAGTCTATCATCGCTACTGTTTGCCTGGCCGCGTAAAAGGTCCCAACGTAGCCTGAAGATGCGCAACTACAGTCAGGTTAACATTGAGCTGGTGACATGTTTGACGGACTGTAGGAGGGTTCGTGGCTGGGGCGCGGTGCGCCCTAGCTGCCTTTCCAGACGACGGCCTGGTCGTCTTGTCGGCATCATCTGCTGCAGCGGCTTTCCCTCGGCAAAATTGGGTGCTGGAGCCCGCACCGTAGGCGGCTGGAACCATTGCCCCTCGTAAACATTGGGTGCTGGAACCCACCCTTCTTGACGCATAATCTGCTGGAACCACTTTTCCCTGTCAAAGTTGGGTGCTGGAGCCCACGGCGTGGGCTGCTGGAACAGTTGTTCCTCGTAAGAAGTGGGTGCTGGAACCCACTGTTGTTGATGACATTTAGGTTTTAGATATAGAATGAAAGTGTGTAGGGGGGGTGCGGAGCCCAGGGGTGGGTGTCCTCGCATTGCAGTCAAGCCTCGCCTTCAAACGGGGGCAGTCTGCGTGCGCGCGCGTGCGCGCGCGCTCTTGCGTGATCGTGCGTGTGTGCGCGAGCTCGCGCGTGTTCGCGTTTGTGCGCGCGTGTGCTTTCGTGCGCGCCTGCACGCGCGCAAGCTCGGGCGCGAGCGCGAGCCCGAGCCCGAGCCCGCGCGCGAGCCGGACCCCCGAGCCCGAGCGGGAGCCTGAGGCCGAGCCCGAGCCCGAGCCCCCGTCCTGCACGCGTGCGCGCGCGGGTGCGCGTGGCCCGAGCGCGAGCCGGAGCCCCGAGCCCGAGCGCGAGCTGGAGACCGAGCCCGCACCCGAGCCCCATCCTGAGCGCGTTCGCGCGCGTGCGCTCGCGTAGAGACGCGCTTCCGATATGTTGACGCGCGCTCGCAAGAAACCCCACCAGCACTGTTCACCCGATTGTGGGTGCTGTGCCTGAAGCTGCATGTTTCGGGGCACGCCGGCTGCCCAGGGCTCGGTGTCTGGGAAGCCTCCAGGCTTGTCATTGGAGGCCAATTTTGACTCCAGCCAATCTCGCGCTTTGAAGCAGGAAGGCCTACCGCGGGGAGGCTGATTTCAGCATTGTTGCAGAAGTAACATCAAGGGAACGCATGGGTTGATAAGCTGGCCAAGCTGCAAAGACCAGGACCGTGTGTGAGCCATCTACTAACTTATATAGCCTATACCTATACGACCACCCATCGGGTGATACGGAGCTTGTGTGTGGGGGGGGAGAGGGGGGAACCAACATCTGACTCAATCGATCTCACTATCGATCTCACTCAACGGGACACCACGGGATACCACGGGACACTTGTCGATCTCATTATCGATCTCGCTGTCGATCTCATTCAGCGGGACACCACGGGACACTACAGGACACCTCTCGATATCACTATCGATGTCACTATCGGTCTCACGATCGATCTCACTATCGATCTCACTCAACGGGGCACCATAGGACACCACGGGACACCACGGGACACCTCGGGACACCACATCGATCTCACTATCGATCTCACTATCGATCTCACTGTCGATCTCACTCAACGGGATACCACGGGACACCACGGGACACTTGTCGATCTCACTATCGATCTCACTCAACGGGACTGCACGGGACACCACGGGACACCTCGGGGCACCTCATCGATCTCAGTATAGAACTCACTATCGATTTTACTTTCGATCTCACTCAATGGGACACCACGGGACTCCTCGGGACACCACGGGACACCACGGGACACCACGGGACACCGCGGGACACCGCGAGCCACCGGCGGGAGGGGGAGGATCATTTGTTTTGATTTTGCCCTAGCAACGGCGGGACACCACGGGACACCACGGGACACCACGGGACACCGCGGGACACCACGGGACACCGCGAGACTCCGCGGGGCACCGCCGGACTGGCGGGAGGGGATAATCATTTGTTTTGACTTTGCCCTAGCATCGGCAGGTTCATCCCTCTCGCGCGCCCACGCAGCTTCGCCTCGCCCGCACGCGCGACACGAATGAAGCGAAACGATTTCCCTGTTGGGGGTCTCCGTTCCACTGCGATCTCACCCCCCAACCTCCGACGACCACCCTTCGGGTGATAAGGAGGTTGTGGGGGGGGATGAGGGGGGGGAACCAACATCTGACTCAATCGATCTCACTATCGATCTCACTCAACGGGACACCACGGGACACCACGGGACACCACGGGACACTTGTCGATCTCACTGTCGATCTCACTCAACGGGGTCCCATAGGACACCACGGGCCACCACGGGGCACCACGGGACACCGCGGGACACTTCTCGATCTCACTATCGGTCTCACTATCGATCTCACTATCGATCTCACTCCACGGGACGCCACGGGACACCACGGGGCACCATGGGACACCTCGGGACACCACGGGACACTTGTCGATCTCACTTTCGATCTCACTCAACGGCACACCACGGGCCACCACGGGCCACCACGTGACACCACAGGACATCGCGGCACACTTCTCGATTTCACGATCGATCTCACTCAGCGGGACACCACGGGACACCACGGGACACCTGTCGATCTCATTATCGATCTCACAATCGATCCAATTTTTTGGACACCACGGTACACCACGGGACACCTCGGGGCACCACATCGATCTCAGTATCGATCTCACTATCGGTCTTTCTCAACGGGACACCACGGGACATCTGTCGATCTCACTATCGATCTCTTTATCGATCTCGCTCAACGGGACACCACAGGACACCACGGGACACCCCGGGGCACCACATCGACCTCAGTATCGATATCATTATCGGTCTCACTATCAATCTCACTATCGATCTCACTATCGATCTCACGATCGATCTCTCTCAACGGGACACCACGGGACACCACGGGACACCACGGGACACCACTGGACACCGCGGGACGCCGCGAGCCAACGCCGCACGGGCGGGCGGGGGAGAACCATTTGTCTTGACTTCACCCTAGCAATGGCGGACACCACGGGACACCACGGGACACCGCGGGACACCGCGAGTCACTGCCGGACGGGCGGGCGGGAGGGGGAGAATCATTTGTCTTGAGTTCGCCCTAGCAACGGCGGGTTCATTCTCCTCGCGCGCCCACGCAGCTTCGCCTCGCCCGCACGGACGGCACCAACGAACTGAAACGATTTCCCGGTTGGGGTGTCTCCGTTCCTCTGTGATCTCACCCCCCAACCTCCGATCCTGTCTTATCGCAAGGGCTTGAGAGTGGCACAAGAGTGTGACACATGCCATTCTGCACAACATGCTCGTGAGCTGTGCCCAGCTTTGAAAGACATCTTCGTGAATTGGGAGCGCTGGCCCAGAAACCCACGGCTGCCCCAAAGCTGGTGGTCTCATACTACTACGTACTATATTGGATGATGGCGTCTTGATGTGCCTGTCTTGCCATTCGGGTGGCGAGACAACCCTGATACCAATCAAAACCGTAACCGTAGCCGGCACAAGCGTGTTCGTAATGTTTTGTAAGAGATGCGGCCCGTGGGAGTAAGGTGTGGTACCCAGTTACGAGCAGCGCCCTGGAGCATCCATGAAGAGGTACAGGGAGATGCTTTGTGAGACGTGCGAGGAGGAGGGGAGTTGGAGGGTGAGGGGGGAGGGGGAGGAGGAGGACGCGGGTAGGATGATGTTGATGATGGTGATGATGATACTGATGTTGCTGATGATGATGCTGTTGATGATGCTGATGATGCTGATGATGATGACGATCATGCTGATGATCATGATGATGCTGATGATGCTGATGATGACGATGCTGCTGAGGATGATTATGATAATTGATGGTGGTGGTGATGAGGATGATGAAGATGATGAAGATGCATATTGAGATGCGATGATGATGACGATGCTGATGAGGATGAGGATGAGCATGATGATGAGGATGATGATGCTGATGCTGATGCTGATGATGATGATGATTCTGATGATGGTGATGGTGATGGTGCTGCTTATGCTGACTATGATGGTTATGGTGACGGTTATGGTGATGGTGTTGGGTGTGATGGTGCATATACGGATGCGCATGATGATGCTGTTGCTGATGATGATAATGATGACGAAGCTGCTGCTGATGATGGTAGTGATGATGATGCTGGTGGTGGTGTTGAAGATGATGATGAGGTGATACTTTTGATCATGATGCTGCTGATGATGACATTGATGGTACTGATGAGGGTTATGATGATGATGCTGCTGATGAGGCGGAGGAGGAGGAAGGGAATGAGGAGGATGAGGAGGATGAGGAGGAGCTGGAGTAGGATGAGGGTGAGAATAATGCAGGGGCGACGGTTACGGACACAGGAAAGAGGATGATGAGAAGGAGGGATGGAGATGTGAGTATGTAGGGGTGGAGGAGTAGGAGAGGAGGAGGAGGAGGATTAGGATGAGGATGAGGATGGGGATGAGGATGTAAATGAGGATGAGGAGGTTAAGGACAATGATGAGGGGAAGAGGATGAGACTGATGCTGATGCTGCTGACAACGACGATGATGATGATGCTGATGCAGAATTTTAGGACGATGGTGATGATGATAGTGATGATGACGATGATGTTGACGACGATGCTGACGATGATGCTGATGTTGATGATGATGCTGCAGGCGAACCTGCAGATGATGGTGCTGCTGATGATGCTGATGATGCTGTTGCTGATGCTCATGCTGATGATAACGATGACATGATCATCATGATGATGTTGATGGTACTGCTGCTGAAATCGATGCTGACACTGGTGATGACGATGCTGCTGCTGATGATGCTGATTGTGATAATGATAATGATACATATGATTGTGATGATGGTGATAATTGTTATGATGCTGCTGATGATGATGAGGATGATGCTGTAGATGATGATATTGATGCTGATGATGACAATGATGATGATGATGATGATGATGATAATGATGATGATGATGCTGATGATGATGATGCTGGTGATGGTGATGATGATGCTGCTGATGATGATGATGATGATGATGATGATGATGATGCGGATTGTGCTGATGATGCTGTTGATGGTGTTGGTGATGACGATGACGATGACGATGACGAAGACGATGGCGATGACGATGGTGATGCTGATTATATTGATGATGCTAATGATGATGATTATGATGACGCTGCTGCTGCTGATTATGATGATGCTGATCATGCTGATGATGCTGATGAGGATGATGATGATCATGATGATGATGATGATGCTGATGATGATGAGAATGATGATGATGATGATGATGATGATGATGTTGATGCTGCATCAGGTGATGATGAGGATAAGGATGATGAGGATGATGCGGATGACGATGATGATCTGTGAGGCTGATGCTGCTGATGATGATGTTGATGATGATGCTGATGATGACGCTTGTGATGATGAGGAGGAGGAGGAGGATGCTGCTGCTGTTGCTGATGATGATGATGATGATGATGATGATGATGATGACGGTGATTCTGATGGTGATGATGGTGATTCTGATGGTGATGCTGCTGCTGATGATAACGATGATGATCATGATCATGATGCTGATTCTGATGCTGAGCTGATGCTGCTGATGATGATGAGGCTGGTCATGATGCTGATGGTGCTGATGCTGCTGATGATGATGATGATGATAATGATCGCGGGGGAGGGGGAGGAAGAGGAGGAGGAGGAAGAGGGAGCAGGAGGAGGACGCGGAGGAGGAGGAGGGGGAGGAGGAGAGAAGGTGGACGACATGTAAGGCATGAAGAGGATGATGATGGTGATGGTGATTGTCATGGTCATGGTGTCGATGATGATTTGTGAGGCTGATGCTGCTGGTGATGATGATGTTGATTATGATGCTGATGATGACGCTGGTGATGATGATGAGGAGGAGGATGCTGCTGCTGCTGCTGATGATGATGATGATGATGATGACTCGTGTCATTATTTTTATGTGTGTCATTTTTTTTTCATTTGTTTTATTCCCTACCTAGGCTCTGCCTAGAAGGGTTCTTACTCGGTATGCTTAAAAGGCCGGGCAGTGCAACTCGCCCCGGGCGGTTCCCCCGGCATCCGCTCCGCGGTCCCCCCAGTTACGTCCCCTTAGCTTAGCGTTGCTTATCTCATCTTAGTTTAGCTTATTTCATCTTAGCTTAGCTGAGCTTCATCTTAGCTCAGGTGTATCTTAGCTAGGCTACCTTCATCTTAGCTTCGCTGAGCTTTAGCATAGCATAGCACAGCATAGCATAACATAGAGTAGCATAGCATAGCGCAGCATCGCATATCATAGCATGGGTGTAATTACCTACCTAGGCTCTGCTTAGGGGGTTAGTTTAGCTTAGCTTAGCTTAGCTTAACTTAACTTATATAGCGCAGCGCTGCTTTTAACATAACATAGCATAGCATAACATAGCCAAGCATAGCATAGCATAGCGCAGCATAGGATAGCATAGCATAGCATAGCATCGCATAGCGCAGCTTAGCATAGCATAGCTAAGCTTAAAGGGCCTGGCAGTGGGGCTCGCCCTGGGCGGTTCCCCCGGCATCCGCCCCGCGGTTCCCCCAGTGACGTTCCCTTAGCTTCGCGTTGCTCATCTCATCTTGGCTAAGCTTATTTCATCTTACCTTAGCTCAGCTTCATCTTACCTCAGTTCCCGACCTAGGCTCTGCCTAGAAGGGTTCTTACTCGGTATGCTTAAAAGGCCGGGCAGTGCAACTCGCCCCGGGCGGTTCCCCCAGCATCCGCTCCGCGGTTCCCCCAGTGACGTTCCCTTAGCTTAGCGTTGCTTATCTCATCTTAGCTTAGCTAATTTCATCTTAGCTTAGCTTCATCTTAGCTTATGTTCATATAGATGTTGCTTTCCTAGATCCTCCAATTCCTAGGTAGGGTCGCACTGGGATAATTATCATGTTTAGTCTTCTTATCATTGTTAATATTTTTACTGTTCTGATGACTATGGTGATGCTGATGATGATGAGGAGGAGGAGGATGAGAAGGAGGAGGAGGAGGAGGAGGAGGAGGGATGGAGAACGGATCATGAAGGGGAGGAGGGTCTGGAGGAGAAGTAGGAGGAAGAGGAGTAGGAGTAGGAGGAGGAGGAGGAGGAGGAGGAGGAGGAGGAGGAGAGGAGCAGAGGAGGAGGAGCAGGAAGCAGGAGCAGGAGGAGGAGGAGGAGGAGGAGGAGTTGGAGGAGGAGGGGGAGGAGGAAGAGGAGGAAGAGCAGGGAGATGATGATTGAGGACGCAGGGGGGAGAAGGGAGACAGGGGGCGGCAGGAGAATGAGCGCGGAGGGGGAGAAGGAGGAGGAGGAGGAGGAGGAGGAGGAGGAGGAGGAAAGGAGTGGAGGAGGAGGAGAGGAGGGAGGAGGGAGGAGGGAGGGGGAGGACCCATGAGTGGGCCCAGAGCGATGGAGGGCCAGGGGCCGACGCCGATTTCCTCTTCGCGCCGGTGCCCGACAGCCCCCTGGATACCCCAGAGGCTACCGGTGGGCTCCCCCTCTCTCCCCCTCGTCCCCCTCGTCTTCATCCCCTCTTTCCCCTCGTCTTCCTCCTCTCCCCATTCCCGTGCTCCACCACAGAGGCTACTTCTGGGCTCCTCCTCTCCCCCTCTCCCCCTCCTCCCCCTCGTTTTTATCCTCCTCCCTTGCTGCCTCCGTATCGTCGTCGTCCGTCTCGTGATCCTTATCTCCCCTCATCCTGCTTCCCCTGCTCCCCTGCTCTCGCTCCTCATGCTTCTTCCTTTGTTGGTTGCACCGACGTTGATCGAAGCGATCGCCGCGTCTGAACGCTTGTTCTGAAACAGGAAAGGGAACGCACACGTTTGAAAACAAAACGCAAAAAAGCGTGGCGAAGGAACCAACCATATGCAGTTGTGAGTACCGCAAGGCAGGTGTGCCGAACGAGGTGGAGCTCCCTTCGGGGCCACGAACGAAACGCGGGATCGATATGGGCGTGGTCAGGCATAAGCGCTTTGCCATGTGGGACTTCTGTGGAGCTCCCTACGGGGCCTGAAACTTGTCAGGGTTCAGCGAAATAAGCGTGGTCAGTGCGAGCGAAATGACGAACTCAGCCTCTGGCTGCATGCGAACTTATTCATTTTGGCCTTCTTTGGAGGTCCTACGGTGCTTGCACAGCGTGGCACGGGCGAGCGAAATGCGCCAAGGACTGGGTGTGGACTATTTCAGTTCGGCCTTCTGTGAAGCTTCTATGGGGCTTGAAATGCGTGGCAGGGGCGAGCGAAATGAGCCCACAACTGCATGCGGTTTTCATTTTGGCCTTCTGTGGAGATGCTATGGGGCTTGAGAAGCGGAGCAGTAGCCCACGATTGCATGCGGACTTGTTCATTTCGGCCGTCTGAGGGGTTTTATGGGGCTTGACAAGAGTGGCATCAGCGAGCGAACTGAGCCCACGACTGCATGCAGACTCTTTCATTTTGACAGTACGTGGAGCTCCTAGGAAGCTGGCAAAGCGGGGCAGGGGCGAGCGAAATGAATCCATGACTGCATGCGGGCTTTTTCATTTCGGCCTTCTGGGGAGCTCCTATGGGGCTTGAAAAGTGTGGCAGGGGCGAGCGAAATGAGCCAACAGCTGCATGCGGACTGTTTCGTGTTGGTCTTCTGTGGGGCTCCAATGGGGCTTGAAAAGCGTGGCAGGCGTGTGCCAGGGCAGAGGCAGGATGCAGAATGAGGAGAGGAGAGGAGGTGAGGCGGGGCGTTGTCTTTTCAAAGCGAGGGCCCAACACCACAGGATGGTTGGGAATAATCATACGAGCAGAGCGTGCACAACATGAGCTAGACAGGCAAACAATGGCGGGAACGTGGAGAAGCCCGCGAGTGCATAGAGGCGCGCGCGGCGGGACGGATTCCCACACATCTTGCTTTGTTGAGCCATCATTGGCGCTCGGTTAAGGCAGATGTTCATATGCTCCTCACCCTCCTCCTCTTCCTCGTCCTCCTCCTCCTCTCCTCCTCCTCCTCCGTCTCCTCCTCCTCCTCCTCCCCTCCTCCTCCCTCTCCTCTCCTCTTCCTGCTGCTGGGTCCCCCTTTTCCTCTCCACCCCCTCCCCCCTTGCTCTCCTCCTCGCCCTCCTCCCGCTTCTCCTCCTCCCCCAGCCTCTGCGCAGCCGTGCCTCCTCGGGAAGGAAGCCTGGTTCTGGCAGCAGGGTTTGCTGCTGTTGGCGGCGCACCTCCGCCTCTCTCCGCCGGCGGCAGCACTTGGCATCGCTCGGACGTTTGCGTTTTTTCTCGGCGAGGACCATCGAGGAGTATTCTGGATCATCTGCCGAACAAGGCACGGAGAATGGACGTCCGAGCGATGGCAAGGCGACACTTCTGAGCCCCGTGGCCCTGCCGTGTCGGCAGCCGCCCCACCTGCACTTGCCTGCCGCAGGCAGACCTGCCGTAGCGACTGGCGCGAACGGGCCGCACGGGGACCGCACCCCGGGCACCTTTCGGACCAGTGGCCAGATCACATTGTGTCGAGCGAAGTGTCCCTTCCTTATTTTGCTTGTCTTGCGAATATTTTGGTCCTCCTCCTTCGCCTCCTGCCCCGGACATCCCCCTCCCTCCCTCCCCACAGCCCCCTCCCCTCCCCTCCCCTCCCTCCCCTCCCCTCCCCTCCCCCTTCCCCTCCCTTCTGCCTCCTTCTCCTCGTCCCCCTCCTCCTCCTTCTCCTCCTCCTCCTCCTCCTTCTCCTCCTCCTCCTCCTCTCCTCCTCTCCTCCTCCCCCTCCTCCTTCCTCTCCTCCACCCTCCTCCTCCTCGTCCTCCTCCCTCCTCCCTCCTCCTCCTCCTCCTCCTCCTTCTTCCTCTTCTCCTCCTCTTCCTCCTCCTCCTCCCCTACCTCCGCCTCTTCATCCTCCTCCTTCTCCCCCTCTTCCTCTGGCTCTCCCCGAGGGCAGCGACGCTGGGGGGGACGCCCCCGTGGACCTGCCGGAGGGGCCGTCGCCGGGCGGGCTGCGGCGGCGTCTCGTGCGCGCTGGGGAGCGGCTCAGCTGGGGTCTGAAAGAAGTGTGACCGGGCTCCCTCTCCCTGCCCTTCCCTCCTCCCCTTCCCTCCTCCTCAATCCCCCTCTCCCTTCCCTGTTCCCTTTCCCTCAACTCTCCTCCTCCATCCCCCTCCTCTTTCTCATCTTTCTCCTCCTCCAAGTGCTCCTCCTGCTGCTGCTGCTGCTCCTCCTCCTCCTCGTCCTCCTCCTCCACCCTCCTCCTCCTCCTCCTCCTCCTCCTCCTCCTCCTCCTCCTCCTCCTTTTCTCCTCCTCCTCCTCCTCCTCCTCCTCCTCCTTTCCTCCTCCTCCTTCCTCCTTTCCTCCTCCTCCTCCTCTCTCCTCCTCCTCCTCCTCCTCCCCTCCTCCTCCTCCTCCTCCTCTCTCTTCTTCTCCTGATGCTGCTGCTGCTGCTGCTGCTGCTCCTCCTCCTCCTCCTCCTCCTCCTCCTCCTCCTCCTCCTCCTCCTCCTCTCTGTCTCCTTGGCACTTTTGGCTCATGCCGTGGTGTTCGCCGCTTTCTCCGCAGCCTTTTCGTCCATGGCGGGCGGCTCGGCGGCGGTGGCGGCGGGTGCGCCCTGGATGGCTGCGGGACGGCGCGCCGTGTGCGTCGATGGGGAACGAGGCCTCGGGAGCCCAACTGGCGCCGACCGCAAGGCTCGGCGGGATTGAGCCAGGCTGTGCGCTGACCGTGCAATTTGTAAGTCAAGTGGTGTGCTGGAGCGGGTCAAGGGCGACTTTCATTCCGTCCTTACCAGCGTCCAGCTCTTCCTCGGGTCGTCGAGCGAGCTCGCGGGTCTCGTGTTGGCCATCGTGCCGCACTTGGCGGCCAAGCTGCAGGGCCGCACGCCGCTGCCCGAGGAAGTTTTTCGCCGTAGCGTGGCCTCCTATGCTGATGCGCGTGGGCACAGCGTGGCCACTCGCACGTTGAACGGTCTGCAGAAGGGCCTTCGGACCGAACGCCGTCAAGATTTGGGACCCCTTTTTCGGCTGCGAGCTGAAGCGTTAGTATTTGTTCCTGGTCTTCGGTGGTGTGCTGATGATACTCCTCAGGTCTTGCTGGTGGACGCTGCTGGTGGGCGTGGGGATCAGCACGAGGATGATGTTCCTGATCGTGGGCGTGGTGCCGACTGCGAGGCCCCTGCCGCCTTTCCCTCTGGAGCCGTGCGTGTTGTTGTGTCGGAGGACGAGGGGGTGATGCAGGTGGAATTTGGCAAGTTGCCGACCGGGGAGCTCATTGTCCTGACGAGGATGTCGAAGACCCTGTTGGTGAGGGTCTCGGCGATGCCGCGGAGAATGACTTGCAGAGCTCGTCTGGTCCAACTGGTTGGAGGCGTGGGAGGCGCTCGCCTTGAAGCGTTGACCTGATTGCGCCGTTGGGCCGCGCTTGGCCGCGCACGGGGTGGGGATCGAGGTGGTCGGGTCGCGCGATTGCGGGATCTGCTTCGACGGGGTCGCCGATGGCAGCGACATCGTGCGTGCATCGCCTCGCCTGCGAGCTGTCGTGCCACATTTTCGCTGCCGCGGCCCCTCCTGCCGCCGAGAGGCCTGGGGTCTCCCTGTGGGTTCTCGAGATCTGCGGGGCCCTGCCTCCGCCACAACGGTTGCGGTTGCAATCCCGTCATCCTCATCCATATCCTGGTCCTCCTCGCCTTCCATTCTTCGCACGACCTTCACCCAGCACTGTCAGCCATTATCTTTCTTCTTCGTCCTCCTCCTCACGTCCATCCTCCTCCTGCTCCTTCGCTCTCCTCTCTCCTCGCCTGCTTCTGCTCTTCCCTCTTTCGCCACTTCCCCTCGTATCCTTTTTTTCCGCCTCCTATTCTGGGTGGAGGGCCCACCCCCCTCGCGAGTGCTAGCGCGTCAGTTTGGCGTCAGGTTTCGCGAACCACTAGTCCATAGAGGGCCCCTTGAGGTATTGGAGGGGCGCGAATCATTGATGCGCGCCCCGTCCATCCGATGTTCTGCGCTCCGGAGAGGGTCTGACGTCGGATACGTTTTTGTATTCGCCGCCTCGCCCCCCTCCAGCAGGTAGATGGGGGAGTTGGAGAGGAGGAAGGGGAGAGGGGAGCTAGGGGGCGGAGGGAGGGGCATGAGGAGGAGGAGGAAGAGGAGGAGGAGGAGGAGGAGGAGAAGCAGGAGGAGGAGCAGGAGGAAGAGGATGATGATCATGACGATGACGATGCAGATGGTCGTGTTGTTGATGATGATGATGATTATGCTGATGATGATGATGATGATGATGATGATGATGATGATGATGATGATGATGATGATGATGATGATGATGATGATGTCGATGACGATGGCGATGACGATGATGATGGTGATGATACTGCTGATGATGATGACGATGATGATGATGCTGGTAATGATGACGATGATGACGATGACGGTGATGATGATGAGTAGGAGGAGGAGGAGAAGGAAGAGCAGGAGGAGGAGGTGGAGGAGGACGAGGAGAATGGGACAGGTGGACCATAAAAAGTCCAGGATGCGCCAAACATTGCTGCAACGTGACCTCCTGCCCCAAGTGTCGTCCTCACTTGCCCCTCTATGTGCGCCTTTTTTTTCTACGGCTGGGACCGTGTGAATAGCGTGTCGCTCCTCCGGTTCTGGCTCATCACGCCGCGGCCCGACACGCCATCCACTTCTGGGTCCCCAGGCGCCAGCGTCCCGAGCTTTCCCGAGCCTCCAGCCCCTCCGAGCGGATCGACACGCTACCCACTCTCAAGGCGTAGCGTGCCGCCGTGGCCGCCGCCGCCAGACGCGCTGAGCAAGAGTCCCTGGCCGTGTGAGAGGAACGCCCCCTTGAGAGACGCCCGCTCCCTCGGCCCGCCATTGGGGTGAGGGCCCCGTTTGTAAGAAGCAGCTGCCCTTCATCGCTGCAATCATGAGAAGTACGAGGTGTGGCGAACTAGAAGTTGAAGTGGTTGTCCAGGGAGGGTCCCCCTTCGGAGCAGGAGCCGTGCTCCCTCTGTCCGGCTGTGGCGCACTCTCGCCTGTCATTGTAGATTCTGCGGCAGTCTACCCCCATTTCGAACAGAAGCCGCCTCCAGTCCGTGCAATTGTTGCGCATGCTGAACCCTGTTCTTTCCAAGAGGCTTACGCCATTCTGCCGACCCCCAGAAGAGGGATGAAGTCAACGGGTGAGGTCTTTTGGGGCCTCGTGGGGACCCTCTGGGGGCCTCGTTTGGACCTTTTGGGGGCCCCTTCGGCCCTCTTGTGAGTTTCTTGGTCGCCTGCTGGCGGTCTCGGGGGTCGTTTGGGGGCGGGGTCCAGTAGGAGGGATTCTCACGCGAGAGCAGCCCTCCGTCCGCGAAGCTGTTGCTGGCTTTTGAGACGAATGTGCGCGGCGCCCAGCCCAATTGTGATCAGGCGCCGCCCTTCATCAGCCTAGCTGCTGAAAGTCATTTCGGTCGAACATGGGCGGTGCTATGGCGAGAGCAGCTTTTCAAATTTGCCTCACTACCAGCATGACTGGACGCTTTGAGATGAATGCGTCTGTCGCTACGGCGGTAGCACCATGATGAACCCGGTCGCCCTCCATCCGTGCACAGGTCGGCGAGTCTTCAACCGTCAGGACCATATAAGGCTAGGAAGTCGCAAGCGAAACGGCCAGCCCATCCAAACGACGCTTCTTGTGGTGGCGCGAGGAGGATTCAGACTTAGGGGCCATGGGGGAAATAAAGGCAAAGACGAGGGAATGATGGGAGAGATGGGAAGAGGGGGAGGAGGAGGAGGAGGAGGAGGAGGAGGAGGAGGATGGGAGGAGGACGGGATGGGCGAGGAGTCAGCGAGGTGGAGCGATGGGAGGTGGGAGGGGATGAGGAGGGGTAAGACAAGTATGATGAGAGGATCGTGGTGGTGGTGATGATGATGGTGGTGGTGGTGGTGGTGCTGTTGCTGCTGCTGATGATGATGGTGATGATAGTGATGATGCTGCCGCTGATGATGATGTTGTTGATGATCAGGATGAGGAGGATGAGGATGAGGAGGAGGAGGCGGAGGAGGAGAAGGAGGAACAATGTTCGGAGCATGATAGTTCGGGGGAGGAGCAGGAAGATGAGAAACAGAGATAGAGATAGAGAGAGAGAGATATAGACATAGAGCGAGAGAGAGAGAGAGCGAGAGAGAGAGAGAGAGACACACAAACATAGTATCCCGGCAGAGCAACCTAACAGCGATGTATAGGAACATATCTGGAAGCATTCCCCTTAAGATTCAGATGCGAATCCTGTTGTAGAATTCTTCTGTTCTCGCAGTCGTAGTCGCATTCGCGATGGCAGTCGCAGTGGCAACGGCAGTTGCAGTCACAGCCTCAGCCTCCGCCTGCCTCAGCCTCAGCCTCAGCCTGCCTCAGCCTCAGCCTGCCTCAGCCTCAGCCTCAGCCTGCTTCAGCCTCAACGTCAGTCTGCCTTCAGCCTCGGCCTCAGCCTCAGTCTGCCTCAGCCTCACCCTGCATCAGCCTCAGCCTCAGCCTCAGCCTGCCTCAGCCTCAGCCTGCCTCAGCCTCAGCCTGCCTCAGCCTCAGCCTCAGCCTGCCTCTGCCTCAGCCTCAGCCTGCCGCAGCCTCAGCCTCAGTCTCAGCCTCAGCCTCAGCCTGCCTCAGCCTCAGCCTGCCAGCCTCAGCCTCAGCCTCCTCAGCCTCAGCCTCAGCCTGCCTCAGCCTCAGCCTGCCTCAGCCTCAGGCCTGCTTCAGCCTCAGCCTCAGTCTGCCTTCAGCCTCGGCCTCAGCCTCAGCCTGCCTCAGCCTCAGCCTGCATCAGCCTCAGCCTCAGCCTGCCTCAGCATCAGCCTGCCTCAGCCTCAGCCTCAGCCTCAGCCTCCTCAGCCTCAGCCTCAGCCTGCTTCAGCCTCAGCCTCAGTCTGCCTTCAGCCTCGGCCTCAGCCTCAGCCTGCCTCAGCCTCAGCCTGCATCAGCCTCAGCCTCAGCCTCAGCCTGCCTCAGCATCAGCCTGCCTCAGCCTCAGCCTCAGCCTGCCTCAGCCTCAGCCTCAGCCT